TGACTCCCTCTCTCTCTGACCCTCCCCTGCTCATGCTGTCTCTCTCTCTCTCTCTCCTAGAAATAAATAAAAACATTTAAAAAAAAAAGGTAGGAAATTCTGACACATGCTACAACATGGGTGAACCTTGAGGACATTATGCTAAGTAACAGTTGCACTTTTCTGAAGTATCTAGAGTGGTCAAAGTCACAGAAACAGAAGTGGAATGGTGGTTGGCCAGAGGTTGTGGGTAGGAGAAAAATGAGGAGTTAGTGTTTGATGGATACAGTTTCAGGCTTGCAAGATGAAAGAAGTTCTGGAGATGGATGGTGGCAATAGCACAACAATGCTAATGTGCATCGTGCCACCAAACTGTGCACATAAAAGATGGTTAAGATGGTAAAGTTTGTTATGTGTATTTTTCACAATAAAAAATTTGGAAAAAATTTGTTATGAGCATTCAAGAATGTTGAATAGATAAAGTGCTTGCCGTTTTATCAGACTTCGGTGAATGGTAACATTTTTTACTAGGGTTAAGACATTGTATTTTAATGGTCACATGATACTTCATCATGAGGTTATACCATAATTGGTTTCTTTTTAAAAATTTTTTTAAATTGTATTTATTTTTGAGAGAGAGAGAGAGAGAGCAGGAGAGGGGCAGAGAGAGAGGGAGACCCAGAATCTGAAGCAGGCTCCAGATTCTGAGTTGTCAGCCCAGAGCCTGATGCAGGGCTCAAACTCATGAAACACAAGATCATGACCTGAGCTGAAACTGGACACTTAACCGACTGAGTCACCTAGGTGCCCCAATTGGTTTCTTTTTTTATTTGACTTTTGGATTTCTTATAGTACTCCACCATTGTAGTAATGATGAAATGATTTTTTTTTTTTGCATGTACATATCTTTTCCATTATTTGGGGCTGTGTCTTTGAGACAGATTTTCTGTATCACTTAGTGGAGGTGAGTTAATCTTTGAGGCTCTTGATACATATGTCTGTGGTGGTCGGTCATTTATACTGTCACCACCCAAGTAAAGATGCCAGTTTCATAGCCTCTTCATCAGCACTAGGGATGCTTTTAAGTGGCTTTACAAAATGTAATGAGAGATGATATGTTCATGTTCCTTTATTTGCTTTTATCACTAAAAATGTTGAGCATTTTTCAATCTTTATTTACATTTATTTCTTCCTATATGCACTGCCTGTTTAAATTTTTTGCCTGTATTTCTAGTGTGGTTTTCTGTGCTTTTGTTACCAAATACATTTGTCATGCTTGTTACACATTGTTGCTATTTTTAATATTATTTTAAAAAATTTTTTTCATGTTTATTTTTGAGAGAGAGAGGCAGAGTGTGAGCAGGGGAGGGGCAGAGAGAGGGACTCAGAGAGAGAGGGAGTCACAGAATCTGAAGCAGGCTCCATGCTCCAATTGTCAGCACAGAGCCGGACTCAGGGCTTGAACTCACGAACCATGAGATCATGACCTGAGGTGAAGTCAAACACTTAACCAACTGAGCCACCCAGGCACCCCACTATTTTTAATATTTAGAGAGTTTAATTCTTATGTAATTAAATCATTCATGTAAACATTTTAAAATACAAAATAATAAGATTTTAAAGTAGAATCAAAAGCATTTTACAATAACATGATCATTATACTTAATGTATCTTCTTCCCATAAATTCTCCCATAATTCTTTTCATACTTGTTAATATAAAATCTGTTTGATTGCTTACATACATGACTGTAGTATTTGAATTAAAATTATGTAAAATGACCAGTTCATTTAAAATATAAATATATATTTTTTAATTTATTTATTTTTAAATGTTTATTTATTTTTGAGAGAGAGTGAAGAGCACAAGGAAGAGAAGGGCAGAGAGAGGGGGACAGAGGATCTAAAGTAGTCTCTGCACTGACAGCAGAGAGCCCAGTGTGGGGTCTCAAATCCACGAACTGCATGCAAAATCACAACCAGAGCTGAAGTTGGACGCTCAACTGACTGAGCCACTGAGGTGCCCCTAAATATATTTTTAAAAAGTAATAAGAAAAATAAAAATATAACCCAATATAAAAAGGATATTACCAAAATTAGAGCAAATAAATTAAAATTATTAATAAACATGACTTTTTTTTTACTAATAATTAAACTCTTTGGAAATAAAATGACAGGATACTATTGTCTAGCTATAAATTGATAAGAGTTAAAAACATTATAATAGTGACTGAGACTGGCCTTGAAATATACTGCCAATAGGAAGAGAAAATGGGGTCAGCTTTACTGAATAGCATTAAGCACTAGATATCAAGAAACTTAAAAATGTTTATAAGTATTGGTTTAAAAATTCTACTTATATAACTACAGTTGAGGCAGTCTCGAAAATGTGGAAAGATATTTATGTTGACAGACGAGAATAGGATTCAGGGGCGCCTGCGTGGCTCAGTTGGTTAAGCATCCAACTTTGGCTCAGGTCATGATCTCACGGTTCATGGGTTCGAACCCCACATCAGGCTCTGTGCTGACAGCTAGCTCAGAGCCTGGAGCCTGTTTCGGATTCTGTGTCTCCCTCTCTCTCTGACCCTCTCCTGTTCATGCTGTCTATCTCTCTTTCTCAAAAATAAATAAGTAAAACATTAAAAAAATTAAAAAAAAAAAAAGAAAATAGGATTCAGTCTAAACCTTCAATGACAGGGAATGATTGGATAATAGTACAACCATCTTTGGAGTGTTATATAGTCATTATAAGTAGCTTTTTCTAAAAATTTTAGTGATATGGGAACATACAATATTCTGGTAAGTGGAAGAAAAGCATGATGCCATCATTACAATAAAGCAAATTGTGCATGGTGTGGTGGTGGTGGTGGTGGTGGTGGTGGTGGTGGTGTGTGTATGTATGAGCACACGTGCACTTGTGTGTATCTGGTACACATCCAAAAGAGTTGTGTAGAAAATGTTGCTAGGACTGGGGCACCTACGTGGCTCTGTTGGTTAAGTGTCTGACTTCAGCCCAGGTCATGATCTCATAGTTTTTGAGTTCAAGCCCCACATTGGGCTTTGTGTTGACAGCTCAGAGCCTGGAGCCTACTTCAGATTCTGTGTCTCCCTCTCTCTTTGCCCCTTTCCCGCTCATGCTCTGCCTCTCAGAAATAAATAAATGTTAAAAAAAAATTGATTTTAAATGTTGATAGTACTTATGTGGTCTGAATATAACACATGACTTTTCTATTATTTTTTATATTCTGCACATTTTCTAAGCTTCGTATTGTTTGCAAATTCTGCCATCAGAAATAAACTTAAATATTAAAAAAGTTTAAAGATAATGCATAGATTTTATTTTCTGTTTTTTGGATTCATGTTCACTTTGCTCTCTTTGCTTTGTTTATTGGTCAGAATCCTGGATAAAACACCAGAAGGTTTTTAGAGTATGGTCCAGAAATTCACTAGTTCTGTATGAACTTTGGCAAAGCTAACTTCTGTGTATCTCAGTTTTCCAAAGGTAAAATGGTTGAGAATTAAGGTGAGATTACCAACCTATGGGCAAACATTTTTGCAAACTAAGTTGAAGGTTCAAGGGATTCCTGGACCACTGTAAGGTCTGATAATTTGTTATGACTCAAAGAACTCACTGAGAACAGTTCTCAGAGTTATAGTAGGGCAGGGGAAGGGTACGGATCATAACCAGCCAAAGGAGGAGATGCATAGGGCAGGGTCTAGAAGGGTTCCAGTGCAAAGTTTCTGTGTTGTCTTCCACTCAGTCAGGATGTATTACCCTCCTGGCATCCATGCGTGACAATATACAAAGAGTATCGCCAACCAGGAAGCTCACCCATGCTTTGATGTCCAGAGTTGTTATTGGGGCTTCATTACACAGGTGTGATTCATTGATTGCCCACAAGGTTGAATTCCGTCTTCGAGTCAGCTAATGCTGTGTGTTACCCAAAGACCCCACTCTCAGCACAAGGTTGGTCTTTCTGGCATGGCCAGCCCTGAACCTAACGCTGTTGGGTATGGCCAACCCTACCCTAAGATTCAGAGCGGCCAGCTTCCACCCTACAACTGTTGGTGCAGCTGGCAGCACTTTAAAGAAGGACATTCCTATCAGATAGGACATAAATTACCTTCCAGAGGCCAACACAAAGGCCAGATATCTCTTTGGGCAAGGCTAAATTCTTTACTACATATAAGGTGATTCGAAGGAGATGGAAAACACATTTAAATATAGAAATGATATGTATGGAGGGTTCTATTTCTTACTACACTCTAACACTGTAAAATAAGGCAGGGCATGAATTCCATAGGTACAAATGCTCCTACAAATACCCACTTCCCTGATCTACAGAACCTTGGGGACCACCTCTGAGAACGGGCCTGCTAACACAGACACATTTGCTGCAGCGGTTGTTTACTGCAGAGACAAATTAGACTGAGAAAACACTTACCACCCCGCTGGGTATGTGAACCTGACCCATGCCTCTGTGTTAACAGCACAGCAAATATGTCCCTCCATTAACGAATTTATCTGATGCAATATAAGCCTGCTTGTTACAGGTTTCTTGATCTGGCACCATCTCACTCTGTTCGTGCAGCTACGCTTACTACATATAGCACAGTGTGGTGATGATAAAAATAAATTGGCTCATCCCCCTCATGGAGTTTCAAACCCTGAGCACTATGTCAGGTTGGATGCCTAAGGTTTCATAAGAGTGAGATTAAAAAAGAAAGAAAGAAAGAAAACCCAAGTTTGTTTTCTCATGAAATTAAAAAAATAATTAGAGCACAATGACGGGAAGTCATCATCCTCAGGAAGCTTGCCAGAGGACAACTGTGTGCTCTTATGGAAAAAGAACTAGTGACAGACTTACTATGAAAGCATTCGCTAACATACAGTTACACTCCCTCCCTTCCTTTGGAGGAGGGAAGAATTTTAGCTTTTGTCTGGTGGTTTTTTGGAAACGAGTAACTTGTAGCAAATTGGTGTTGTCAGTAAATTTTAGTTGTATGTTCTGTTTCTTTCAAGGAAAAACTGGCCATGCAGAAGTAGTCCGAGTGGTGTACCAGCCAGAACGCATCAGCTTTGAGGAACTGCTCAAGGTCTTCTGGGAGAATCATGACCCGACCCAAGGTAGATGAGTGAGCCAGTATTTAATTATCTTACTAATTACAGCTGGGATAATTAGTGTTTGAGCTGCATGGAAGAGATGAACCTTGAAATCACACAGGAGCTCAAGAATATGATTGCAGACATTTATTGACGGAGAAGAGGAGGGGCTGGGGAGCAACCGGGAGAGAGAATAAAGGCGCAGCCACAGTCTGCACTCCTCCCCCCTTTACAGCTGTCAGGGGTGGGAAAATTCCCACAGAGAAAGACGCCAGACAATAGAGATTCGTTCACCTTTGATTATTGCATTATTCCTCCTTAATGCAGTCTTTTGTCTACAAAATTAAAGTGTCTTTCTAGCAGCTCCAAAGTTTTCCTGATTTATGGTTCCTTTATTTCCCTGAATTTAGCCTTTCTCATCTTTTGACGTTATCAGGCTTTTTTTTTTTTTTAAATGTCTGTGGGTGATAAAAAAAAAAAGAACATAAAGGTAAAATGCAGTATTCAATGGGTCCACAATGCTTGGGTTATTTAAATATTTCATTTGTCTTCTTTGAAATTTGTTATATGGAGACATTAATATGTTTGGGCTATGAACAATGGTGGCCAGAAATTTTATTTGAATGCACACACAAGCAAAAATCCCCTGTTGGCAAATATCATTTGTAATATTCAATAACGAAGCAATTTCCAGATTTCATCCTAACAGCGTTACAAGCACTGCCTTGCCAATATGATGATCTGATATTATGAGGCTTATGAACTGAGAAGTCCTATATAATAGATGTGATTTTCACAAATCCTGTTCATTTAGCAATCACTCTATTTCACAAAAATATTTTCCCTTTGGTGTCAGGTTTTTGTGTAGTGGGTATGCTATGTTGGCTGTTTCCGAAGAAGGGATGTGTTTTTCCAAATGTGCTTTGTGCTTTGTGGTTGAATTTTAATATGGCCCCAGCAGTACAGGATGGTGGGTCCTGAGTTCTGATTCCTAGAATCGCTCAGTGCCTGGGCAATTTACTAGAGGGCAAAAGTCAGAGCTAAGGCAAGAATAGCAGAATGATTAATGAGCCAGGGTACTGCAGGTACAGAATCCAGGCAAATCCTTCAGGGTGGGTTAGGAGGGAGGCCAGGAGCAGGATTTCCATTATAGTGAAGTCTGGTGTGACATAGGGGCATGAGTCCCTAGTGAGAGAGTGATAAGATATGGGGCAGGGGAGGTAGAAGACTGGTAGGCATGAATACTATAATGACAAGGTTCAGATGTCACCCCGGTCTGGACTACTAGACTGGCCTATCATATGAGAAAGGCAGGCCTAACAAACTCAGGCTTGGCTCAAGCAGGAAGCTCTGACAGTGAGCATCATAAATAAGAGTGATGATAGCCAAGAGCTTGTGTTGGTGGGCCTTTGATCCAGGTGGAGCAGGCATTTGGCTCTCAAAGCCAAGGGTCATGGCAGATGCCGAGAACTCTAAAATTCTCGGTGGAGATACACATTAGGAGCCCAGGCAAGCCTGAAGTCATATAGGAGACAGGCTCCCCACAGGCTCACAAGGTTGGGTATGTGTATGTGGCCTTTGGCCTGGCCATCCACAATGTCCTGTCCTGATAGAATCACTTTATGCTTAGCCCTGCCAAGCTTTCAAAGAGGGTAAAGTCTGTCATGCACTTCTGTCTCCTTTCTTCACTTAACTTCTTAACTATTTTATCACATCTTTACCAGCACATCTCAGTTAATTAAGTCACTAGTACTGGCCCCTGAATCTTAGAGGGAATTCTACTTTTAAAAGAACCTCTTGTTCTCCGCATCCCACATATCAAATTTGTCTCAACTGCACTTCAGCTCTCTTTGAAATTCTGTGTGTGTTGTTTGCTAATAACAAGGTACCACAGATCCGGTGGCTTAAACAACAGTAATTTATTTCTCACAGTTGAAGAGGCTAGAAGTCTGAGAGGAAGGGGTTGACAGGGTTGGATTTTTCTGATGCTTCTCTCCTTGGTTTGTAGATGTCCACATTCTCCTGGAGTCCTCACATGGTCTTCCCTCCACATGTATCTTTGTCCTAATCTCTTCCTATAAAGATACTGGTCATATTGGATTAGAACATACCCAAATGACCTGATTTAATCTTAATCTTTAAAGACTCTATCTCCAAGTAGGATTATATTCTGAGGTACTAAATGTTAGGGCTTCAACATATAAATTTGGGGAAGATACACTTTAGCCCATGACACTGTTCAGTAAAGTAATAGCTTGGTATACTATTCTTCCAGAGGTATTTTGATTCTAACGGAGGGTTTGTAGATTCATAGACTAGAAGGGACTTTAGAGGTCATCTGGTTAATCTTCAGCTTCAATTCTGTAAGTCAAAAGATAAAATTGCTACTGGCAGCATTCACAGACAATAGGATTTGATTGTTAAAGACGTATTTTTTTCCACTGATATTTTAGACAAATTATGCATGGGCAAGAAGTGTTTTTCTACCCATGCATATGTCTGTTTCTACTTAGAATAGTGCTTGATGCAGTATATACAGTCACAGATATTAAATCACAAGATATCTGAACTTCCTACATTATTACTAAGATTACTTTTGTTGGATAGTTTAGTGTAATGGACCATGGTAATAATCTTTTTCTGCATTCCAAAGTTTTCCATGATACTTCTGGAAATAAGGTGAAAGGAGTTATCACATGACCCAAGCCTGGCCAATCACAGTATCTTTTCCTGTTGTCAACTGTGTTTGATTCAAGGAATGGGCATGGGACTCAAACAAGACCAGTTGGAGTCCTTCTCTGTGACTGTTGTATGAGAGACAAAGACGTTCTCCCTTTTCTGGGAGTGCCAAGGCAGAGGTGATCTGTATGTGGAAAGAGCTTGTCCACAGGAGAAGCAAGGGGGGAAGATGGGCAGAGACACTGAGAGACAAGAGATAGGAAGAGAGAATCTTCATGAGACTGAGGTCCTCTAAGTATGAAAACTACTAGGTACCTACCCCACCTTCTTCATCTTTTTTTAACTTAAGCTAGTTTGTTGGGTTTCTGTTACTTGCAACAACAAAAATTTGTGCTTCGCCACTCATTCAACTTAATAATTGTGCTTATTATCTTCAGTAACCATGTTCATGGTTAGCCATGACATCTATAAATTAGAGGTTTAAAGCTATTTGGTCAATAATTTTGTCATTGCCTGAGACATGAAGTGAATGACACTGAAGATTGTTTTCTCAATACCTGTTGGTGGTTTGATTAGGGGATTCCTTGGTAATTCAGAATGAAGAATTGGAGTTTAAGATTGGAGATTCATGACTTGAATATATACCAAATCATCTCAATATTTCTAAACTATTATGAAAGACTGTCGGTCATTAATGACACTTATCGTGTATCTACTCTGTTTGTCAGGCACTTTGTTAGGTGGTACTAAATCACCAACTTGTCTGTAAGATGCAGCAATATCCAGCCTCTTGGCTGATGCACAGAGAAAATAGATTTCTATAGGCAGAAAATAGTTTAAGCCAAACATAGTGAGATCAAATGAGCCTTCAGAAAAATGTGTATAAGACCAAAATATTAACCTGAAATCATTAAAACAAGTATATGTTAACACTGGAACTTTAAAAGCAAAAACATAAATTTAGAAGAACTCAAGTGTCAATGAATTTAACATTGCCAAGGAACTCAGAAGGTCCAAAACATGTAGTCACATGTACTTTTTCTGAGGTAAGAATCTGAAGCCCACTCCTTGAAGGATGGTCATGAAGCAGGTGAACTTGGCCATCCCAACACAACTTCTAAATTCTCTGCTTGAAGTCACATGGCGACTCCTGTCACTTTCCTAGTTCAAAGTATCCCAGAAAAGAGAACCATCCAGTAGAAGAGAGGAGGGAAGGAGAGATGTGTAAAACTGACTGGTCTTACTCAGAAAGTGGATATTTCAGAAGACAGCACTATGTTGGCTTTGGGGAGACTCTTCATCGATAAAGCAATAACCAAATCTAGGTTGTTTTCCAAAGCAGGAGTGATTCTTAAAACTGTGTAAAGAATACTTTTGCCTCTGCCAGGGTTGCTTATCAGCAAAAAGACAAAGCTTGAGTAAAGTTGAGAAGACATTGACCTTTGATGTGAAGATATGCTCAGGAAATACATGATTCTTAACAGAAATACAGCTCAAGAGAAATGTATTTTAATTAGCATGCTGAAAGACTTTAGTACTTTGTTTATAGAGTCACTAAGCATTTGAAGGGGTCGCTTAAGTTTTTTAGTTATATCTTACTTCATTTTGTGAGAGAAGCAATATCCTAGAAAGATATTTGCAAATGTGGAGACCCTTTCAAATGTTTAGGGTTTACATGGTAGCAATGGCATGAGTTTAAGCATAAAGTCCCCTTTCAATTGAATTAGATCTTCATGGCATACACTAGACAGAGAAAATCCTGCATGTCCTTTACTGCCTCAAGGTACTCTCACAGTATCTGCCCTGATGGCAAGAAGGAACTTCCCATGGTCTGCAGTTTGGAAGGGAGCAGAGCTGGTAAGAGAACTATCAGAAAGTGTAGACTTTGGAAGATATGGTGGGGGGTAGAGACCTGCTATTTCACAGCCAATAGGTAGTGGGTCCTGAGAGAGTGATACTCAGTGGATTAGCTTCAAGTGAAGTAACAGACATAATAGTATCATTATACATTTGGCCAGTAATTGGAATAGTCTTTTCTCTTAATTTACCAATTACCACAAAATCTCTATTTTGCCAAAGCATACAGATACCACCGTTTAACTAATATGTCTTGTTCCGGCTTTCCGTCTTACTCATGGGACAAACATGGTCCCTCCAAGCTTCTAAGGATAGAATGGAGCATGCTCACTCTTGATTATATGGTCTCCAAACCCCCCAGTCTCCAGGCAACACAGCAGAGCCTGAGATTTAGGAGATTTGGGATCTGGGCCCACCTTCCTCCTTCCTAACTGCATGACCTTAGACAAGACACTTTATTCAGTCTGAGCCTCTGTTTTCTCATCTGCCAGAAGGGGATAATAATGTCTATACTGCATAGGTCA